GGTCATGGACATATTTCTAAAGGGTCAGAAGGAGACCTTTTCCCAAATCCGACTGTTCGACTTGTTCCTTTGTATTTGTACCTTGTTTGGTCGAGGTCTCGCAAGGCAACCTTCCTTTCCAGCTCGTTTGGGTGAACCCCACTCTAAAAGGTTGAAAGCCCGCACTTGCGAAGGCGCCATGTATCCCTGAGACCAGGCTGGGCACGAGTTTGGGGTGTGTGCTCCCCATGTTTTCGAACCCTAGTGCAAAGTAAGATTTATCAGTTGGGTATGGTCCCTGCACGTCAAAGATTGGAAGCAAGCCAAGAAGCTTCTCGTTTCAGGGAACCGCGGGCTATCCCGGATTGACGTTTCTTGATCAAAACACTATTTAAGCTAGTTCTGCTGAAAGGATGTTAGCAATCAATGGTGGTCTGCCCAGCTTGGCTTCGCATGGGAATTTCGGAGAAGTGTCTCGGATGGGAAGCGTTTCGGGTTCAGAAATCCTGTGATTGGTGAAGCGGGTTCGCAGGTTGGAGTAAATGTTGCGGAGTCTGGCAAGGAGATGTTCAGCAGCATGTGGCGGCTGGATTTATACTGAATGGATTTGCTCATGGACTTGTTCATGTTGAAATATGTAGCCCAATACGCGTACAGTCGTACAGCATCGACAATGTTATGTTTGGGTTCAAGTAAAAGAGACCGCTTCGCAGCGACCTGGTTGAGTAAGCTTATTGTCATGGTAGCGGGGAGCCAAGCCGATCCATGAAAGCGATCTGTTTGGTTCTACGGAAAGGGGCCAGGAGCCCTACCGCCGTCGAGGCCGTGGAGGCGGGGCAAGGGCGGAAAAGGCAGGGTGGCTGAGCCAGCGGCCGACCCGTCAGAGCAGCCGGAGCAGCCGGATCAGCTGGAGGAGCCAGAGGAGCCAGAGAAGGAAGAAAGGCCAGAGGTGCCAGCAGACCCATCCGGAGGCAGCCAGCAGCGGTCGCCCGAAGAGCCCGCCAAAGGCAGCTGCGCCGGCAAAAGCAGCAGCCGCACAGGCGTTGCGGTAAGAACTGGGAAAAGCCAGCAATTGCCATAGGCGAAGGTTGTATACTGAGAGGCAGGAGAGGGAGTCGCCGGTACATGAGCCACCATACCATACTCGCACCAGATCACAGCTGACTGTGTCGAGAAAATTTCTGGGCGCTCTGTGCTGGAACGGCTGATGCCATGGTCTAGCCAAGGATGGAGGTGCCGGCCCTTCATGTCATTGCAGCATTGCAGGAAGACGAGGCCCATGGATGGATGCCCTGGAGGTGGAGATTTCAATGGAGATCAGGCCTGAGCTGCAAGATACGCAGTGGATGTGATGGAGATCTACAGCCCCAAGAGGTTCATGGGAGAAGCAGCCCGTTTTGGACTAAAGCCGGGCTATGCCACGGAAGAGGTCAAGTCCAATGGAACCTACTGGGATTTGAGCAAGCCTGAAGATGTAGAGGACGCACCCATTCAGCCATTTGCAGAACATCAATAAATACAGACGCAAGATCCGGATGGACAGAGCATTGGAGCATGCGCGCAACTTGTGCAGAGGAAGCAGCTGGACGCAGGGCTCCTGCTCTTGCATGAGGCGCCCTGGACAGCAACGTGATGGAAGGATCCTGAAGCCAAGGAACTGACGGATCGATCGGACACACACTTGGTCCGAGGACCCATGTGCCGTTTGGAGATGATGGCAAAAGATCGCGGCGGTCTTCAACGCACATGGCAAGGCGACCGGCTACCAATAGCCGATAACTTGCTGAACTTTTGGAACGTGAATGTAGCAACAAGACAGGGAAAGATCCCTGGCACAGGCATGTACACCTTATTGGTGAAATTGCCAAGAGATCAGCCAGGTATGCACCTGCGCTGGTTATTTCAGAGAGTTTGTTCAGACGGGTGAGCTTAACTCAATAAATTCTAGTACATCAGGGCCAATCTGCGAAGAAGCTTCTGTTCCAGACTGCAGGCTACATCGAGGAATACTGAGGTGATGTCAATGGAGGACTGCTACCAGCAGAAGAAGTGAAGAAGGCTAGAACTCTTGAGATGGACTACTTCAAGAAGCAAGGAGTCGCTTGACACTAACAAAGGAGACCCGGAGAAACCCTATTACCGGTCAAGGTTGGTTGCCCTTGAAAGGCAGCTAAGAAGCCGGAAGAGCAATTACTGCAGAATCTTGTTTTCGCCAACGCCGCCGTTGGAGGCGATGCGCTATTTGCTGAGCGCTTGGTCGACTGACTGAGCGTCGGAAAAAGGAGCTAGGCCTCTGGAATTTCAGTCGAGCGCATTTCTGCGGAGTACCAAAGCGACGTGTCCACGTCGAGCTCCCGCCAGGAGATGCAGAAGAAGGTTTTTGAGGCTTGTTGGAGAAGAGCATGTACAGTTGCCGAGACGCGCCCGCAACTTCTTTTGAAGAACGAATTTCAGCGAGGTCGCAGAAAGAAATGGTTCCTGCTTTCTTAAGCTGAGCACAGGGCGCAAGGTGTTGGTCCACGGGGACGATTTTCTCGCACTTGGTGATCAAGAAGCTTTAGAGGAGTTGGATTCCGTTTTGAGGAGTGCGTATGAGTTGAAACGGCTCGGCATGTTAGGAGACGAGAATGAAGATGATCAATCAGCGCATTTCCTGCATTGGCATGCAATGAAGGCCAGTCAGCAATCTTCTTGGAGCCAGACCGCCGACGTGTAGAACGTCCGTTTCGGCGTCTTGGAATGTCCAGCAATGTCCAGTCGAAAATAGCTTAGAGTACTGGTGAGAGTGAAGCCGAAGGCACGGTTGATAGAGTTCATTCAAACTCGCTACTTGCGGTTGCAAGAGCACGTGGCGATGAACCAGTTGAAAGTAGAACATGTACCAGGGAAACGAAACGGGTCTGACGTGCTGAAAAAGTCAGTACCCGGAGTCCAAACGAAGGAGGCAATGACCCGTTCCGGATTCGTTTTCCTCTTCAAGCCAAGAGTAAAGGCCAACTGAGTCTCTCAAATTCATTCGGCCCCGACTACCGCACTGTGTAGTTGCTGCGCGGGTGATCTGGCACCCTCCAGCAAGGAGGAGTGTTGAAATATGTACCCGAACACGCACACAGTTCAGCATCGACTACGTTCTGTTATGGCTCAAGTAAAAGAGGCTGCTCCGCAGCGACCTGGTAGGAGATGACCCGTTGTGGTTGGAAGACCATGTGGCGAGGTACAATCTTCCTTGCGAAAGTCTGAAGTTCACAGGCTAGCCTGGTCTTTTTGATATGATCTTTGGCCTTCAGCTGACAGCGCCATTCACCATAGCCATGAAAGAAAGAGACCCATCACAATTGGTTTTGAGCCAAGCTTTCGAATTGCAGCATCATTGTCGGGGAGGCCAGGCGCTGCAATGTTTTCGAGCACAACATCCCCCTTGCCCAACCAGCAATGGAGCGCGCCATTCAGTCAACCTTCCCCCCACAACCAGGACGGATTGAAATGTTGTTGAGATGCACTCCCAGACCCAAGCAGTGGTGTGAGGGAGCCATTCCCTCCCGCAGTGGCTTGATCCCACACTGTTCTGCGTAACTAAATGGGTCAACGAAGAAGTGTTACAACAATGTATTCACACATCCGCACTCATATATCGTAAATAACACACAAAAATGTATATGTTTCACAAACACACACACACGTCTTATGGTTCAATCGTTGCTGTGGTTTTGTGGATGCGTGTGTAGGTGCGCAGGGTCATATTGACCTGCGCGTCAGCAAAACAAATCATACGACTTATCAAGTCATGGCACGTTTCAACAGACATACATATTCGCTTACAAAAGCCCGCGCTAGCGCGCCCCTCTTGGCCACTTGCTAAATCTTCTTTTCAATAGAGGTTAAAACCCTAATGTATCAGTGTTCCTGAATTGGTTCGCCCCCTTGAGCTCTTCTTCTCCCAGAAGAGGATTCTGTCCTGCGGGAGGGAAAGGTCTTAGGATTGCTTTTTTCTGTTCTAAATCCAAAATCTTAGGATTGCTTCTTTTCTCTTCTAAACCCCAAATCTGGGCTTGGCCAGCCTGATAAACTGTTCATACGGGGCAATGCAAAAGCAGCCATCCGTGCTCCAAATCTGGAGATCTGGCCACTTGCCTTTCATACGCACACGTTGTGTGTATATAGCCCCCTCCTGGCAGTCCAGGAATCTGGCTTAGGGCTTGGGGTTCATTTGCTATTTCGTTGGTTGAGGGTGGAGTTGCAGCTAGGCGGGGGCGTTGGAAGAGGGTGCGCTCCGCCCCCATCATCGATTGTCAAGCAAATGCACAGTCAGCTGCCAGGTCAAGACTGCTTGCTGGGCCCTTTCCGCCAGCACGCGCTGCCGCTTCAATCCGCGTCTTGTAAAGACTCGGCGAACTGCACTTTGATCCCGGAGGCTGCCTGCCCAAGCTCAGGCATGTGTGAGCCCGGGAGTCGCACGCAACAATGGGGGGTTGAAAAAGTATGCGGGCGGATCAAGAAAAGAGATTGGCAGAAGAGAGGCCAGCTTTGGAATTGATGGCAAGCCTCCAACCCGTTGCTCTTGAGCGCGTGTGTTTGCTGTCCTGGTTGCAGTGCTGAGCGCTTTGAGCGGGTGCGTCAATCTTTTGGCAGTGCTATAAGTTCTAGTGCGGAGCCATGAGCTAGGGGAAGCTTGCTGTAATGTTGACCCCATTTTGGTAAGAAAGTTTGGGGGGGGATAGATTTTGAAGGTTTTTGGCCTGCCTCCCTGGGTAACCTGGAAGCATCCATTGGATTTAGTATTGCTGGAGCCTCCTTTTTACTTTTGTAGCTGAGTATTCATTCAGCTATCTCGACCATGATGGGCTGGCTCATCAATTGTGCAGATGATGAGGGCAGTGAAATGATGATTGGCGACATTGCTTTGCAAAACCAAAGGTGAAGTCTGGGAATGATCATGGAGCTACGCGCATGTCACGCATGCTGTTATTGTAGATTGAACTGATTAACAACCAACATCATCAGTCTATCTGCCTATTGCACAGATGAGGGGTCAGATGACACAGCCCCATTCTGATAGTGCCTTGGTTGGCGTTGCCGAAGAACGGGTTATGACCTTCCAACTTGCGTCGCGTGTGAAGGCCTGCGAAATTCAGTGCAGTTTGCCTTTGACTCCCTTCTGCATTCCAATCAGGCTGACCAACCTTGATGCTGGCAAGCCTCCACCCGTCGCCCGCCTCCGCAGCGACATGGTTTGCCAAACAGAGCTTCATACAGCCCTTCAAGTTTAGCCGCAGATTTCTTGCTTGGAAATGGGCCGGTGGATTCTTTCGCTTGCGCTGGCGCTTGCCGTCGGTGAGCGCGTGGAAGTAGAACGTTTAGAAGTGCAGCGGGCCATGCAGAACCGGTCCCTCCACCAGGCCGGCTGGGCAGGGCCCCGTGTCTTGTAAAGAAACCCGAACCACAAATTGGCCGGTTTGGTTTTCTGTGGGAGGGGCCACAACTTGGCATGGTTCGTTCACTTGCGGAGTTCACCTGTTTTGCGCTAGGCACAATTGAAACAGCAGAGGCGCTCAATCACAACAACTACACATGTACAAGTATGATCATTTCCAATATTATCAAGGAACCCTAGATGCCAAACGCGCCAAGGGGTGTAAAAGGGTCGTATAGTAGACCCTCGTTAGGACAACCTTTCCTGTGCTTGTTTTTATGTTGATCTCCGCGCAACTGTTTGGCTCAAGGCCCCTCTTCTACTCTTTATTGCCACTGTACAAACCATTCACGCACAGGCAGAGAGAAGGGATTACTTGCGGACCACTTTACAGGACATCGAAGGAAGTTTAGTTAGAAAACTTCCGTAATACGAAAAGTAGAGTCAGACATGCGAAACACACGAAGGGTACCCCTGTTCAGCCTGCACTGGGCCCTTACATTGATGGGGATCCTGTCCTCCTTGGACGCATGAAGGGAACCCTCAAACCATCAGCAAAGTGTGGATTCTCTCATGAGAAACACACAGACAAGAACCATTTAGAGTCTGTGAAGGCGTCATCAACACCCCCACTCATTGGTAAGAAGCGGAGGCAAGCATCAGCCACTGAGACAAGAGCCTATCAGAAGCAATTGCTGAAAGTTAAGCTTCTGGAGCGCAAACCTTGGCTTGGCAATGATGAGTTTTCAATTTTGGCATGATATACAATTTCTGTCGCCAATCTATATAGAGTAGGCTACAGCATTCAAACAAGTTTCGAGTGGCTACGGTCAAAGGCCATGAAGCCAGCGTTGCAATAGTAATTCAGTGCTGGAGATCAAAAGAAATTGGTGTCTGTTTTGTGTTTGATTTATATGTTGCCCCTCTTCTACTCTTCCCAGGGCTTCCGGAAACTTACATGTCAGGAACCAGCTTGGTTCCCGCTACCGGGCCAAACAGACTTGCAACAGACCCAAAACAGTATTTTTGCGTTGCCGGGTTGTGCGACTGGTGCACTCAGAGCCTTCAACAGGATTTTGGTGCTCAAAGCAACGGACGCAATCAATGAGGATAATGTTTTCACTAAGTTCCTAGAATACTGTTTGGGACACAGAAAGCAAATCATGGCTGGATCCCACTTGCGTCATGTGTTCAACGCAAAACAGGTTTGGGAAGTCCATGTCGCATTGAATTTGGTAAATCGGTTGGTCAGGGGATCCGGAGTAGAAACCTCTCTCGCCATGCACTAGTTTTACCATGAAGCCTGCTGGCGTGCCAAGTATGCCTGTTAGCAAGCTCACATTTGCCCTTTGATTGTGTTAGGAATACGATTCCGGCCATATCCACTTGTCATTGAAAACTGTTTTGCATATCGAGTAGCTTCCTTTGGAAAATATGATGGCTTCACCAAACCTGCTCGCCGCAAGGACATGCTAGCAACATTTGCTAACATACCAATAATTGCTGTCAACGGACACGTTTCAACTGTCATCCACGCACAAAGCAAACGTTCGTCCACGAAGGACTGCAGAACTAGGAAAAAGAACGTTTGTGTTGTTTAAGGTGCGACCTCAGTCTAATTTTACAAGCAAATGCCCTGCTTCACTTCCAGGGTGGAGTACTGTCGAAAGGGCTACGCGCTGACAATAGCTGTTGTATTCAAGGGCATTGAACCTTGCCAATCGTTTATAAACACACCATACACTCGTTACACTTAAAAGCGCACCCCAGACCGTCATCCTTGCTTGCATATTGTGGGACACTATAAGCAACATGTGTGGTCCGGACATCCTGTCATCAACAAGCGATTCCAGGAGACTTGAATCTTGCCCATGTGGGTGAATCATACAATTCTTGTCTGAATATCAGGACAAAAAAAGACGCCCAATATGCTTCCCAATAATCCAGAACGGAATGCGTATTACATTGTATTGCTGTTTTGGCGTTATCGCATCGGTATTTTGGCGTTTGCGCATGGAGGCTTGCTCGCCACAAACCAATATCTCTTGGCACAAGTGGTGGTCTAGCCGTTTTGTGCACAGCAAGGTTACCAACTGGAGCCTGTTTGCATGGAAGTAGGTTGTGTAAATATAGGCGCAGGCGCCTTTTGAGCTGTGACTAGGTGAGCCATGTCCTAAACGTGTCATGATTTGCTTAGTCGTATCATGTGGGTTATCGCACATAGAATGATTTGTCTTCTGCGTCAAACCTAGACACGCACAGCATCGATCCGTGCGTGTTTCCAACTATGGCGAGCTGTGTACAGCGCATATCCCAGGGCAAAAAATAACGCATTCCCAAAACCCTGCAACATCTTTAGCAACCATAGCTGTTTCATGCCCCTCAATCTTATTTTTGGAAGCAACAATTTTATATTCGGAGGCAACACACGTAATGCATATAGACATGTTACTCGTCGAAGTGCCTTGGCAAAACATATGATAACCACACCTGCCTACAGAACACCCGCCAGAGTCACACAACAAGTAACAAACCACATGCGCGCACAAGCCAAAAAGAACCCTGCTCATACTTGCTCGTTGCGTATGGGAAGCAGACCAAGCAGCTAAAAACACATCATAATCACACTCACGCATCACACACACACACACCAACAAACCACGCAAACACTTTATCACCCGCTAGAACCACACACGCACACCGCGCGACAAAGCATACTCAAACTCTCCAATTGGCCATGATCAAGCACCACACAATAGATGATGAACATACCTGTCAACGAGCAGCCACTTACCACACAACAAGTCAGAAACACACGCACAAACTGAGCGCCTGCCAAAATCACATACCACACAACACAATATGATCGCACCCGCCAACTGAACACCGATCACATTCACTCATCGCACAAATAAACCATCAGCGCCCGGGCCAACCAAACGCCCACAGCCAGCTACCACACAACAAACAAACAACCGATCCGCCAGCTGAACACCTGCCAAACTAACAAACCACGCAGCGAACTCAGAATGCACGGCCACCAACTGAAGACCCGCCACAGTCGCGTGCCTACAGCGAATAAAAAACACCCTCCACACCCAAATGCTACGTAATAAATGTTCAAACACGCCCTTTGGATGAACCCAATATTTCACACAAGTGAACTTGAACACACCCGCTCGCAAAGTGCCCGCCGCAGTCACACACTGCGTGACAACACACGCCAAGTGAGCACCCTGCACACTCACATAGCTCACAACAAAGTAATGAGCGTGCAAGCCACCAAAGGCACCGCGCAAAGGATGAACTGAACGCGCGCCAACGCGCATCCGCCGCGGTCATACACCGTGCAACAAATGGTGAGCACACCTGCCAACAAAGCACTCGCCTCAGTCACACACACTGCATCAACACAGAACAAACAAATTCGCCCGCCAAACGCCAGCCATACACGCGGTGTCACAAACGACACGCCCACACCCCAACTGAGCACCCGGTACACTCACTCACCACGCAAGAAAGGGCACTGGCACCAGCCAACTGAGCGCCAGCTACAGCCAAACACCACATAATGAATGAAAAACACACTTGCCAACAAGGCACCGGCCATGCTCATGAAACCACACAGCAATTACAAGCGCTCGGGCCAACTGAGCAGCCGCCAAATGAGCAATGCGCGCCAGCGACAAACGCCATGGCAAGTGCTGGGGCAGGAAAACCTGCCAGCGCAAGAAGGGTGAAACCGGAACCGTTAAAAAGGGCCCGGAACCATTAAAAGCCGTTAAAAAAGGGGGTGGAACCGTTAGGCAGGGACCGGAACCGTTGAGGGGAAATCGCACCCAACTTTGGGTGAAAAACCGCGTGCTCCATGACTTTCATGCAGAAAACAGTGTGCTCCACCATCTTTTTCGAGTACAATGGAAATTTGGGGTGAATCTAGTGTGAATCCAGCGGCAAATACGCGATGCGCTTGCAAACTGAACACCCGGCAAGCTAAGCCACAAGCAACATGCTCCAGAAGCTGATTCCCCCCCAAATAATCGGGTCAACGCCGAGCCCGAATGCAAATGGAAAACCTATATCATCTCAAAACACAAGCCCGAACTTCCCATCGAACCTCGAACCTCAACCCTGCGCAGGATTGCGGGCACAATGGTTGTTATTGCCCAAGTTACGCTTTTCTGTTGGGTGTAGCCAGCTCGCTTCTCCGGAATGTCTCTAACGGTTCCGCTACCGACCCTTTTTAACGGTTCCGGGCCCTTTTTTTACCGCTGGTTTTGCCCTTCTTGTGCTGGCAGGTTTTCCGCCATTGCGTTTGTCGCTGGCGTGCGTTGCTAATTTGTTGCGGTGTATTGGTGTGGCGTCTGCTCAGTTGGCCCGAGAAAATCCAGGAGAGTTTTTTTTGCAGACCTCAGCAAGTTCCACGTGGACTGCGTGCTGCCTTGGTTATGAGGTGATTTGCATCCAAGTGTGTGAGCCGGGATGTTGGTCTAGAGAAGCGGGACAGCATCATCCCCATCTGTCTGAGCTGGACGTTTCTTTTAGCATCGAAGGATTTAGCTGCGTGGTGAGTGGCTGCTTCTTGGCAGGTCACTTTGGTGAGTAACATGTCTACATGAATTTACGCTTGCTGCCTCCAAATATAAACTTGCTTTGCAAATAACTGAATGTTGTTTTGAGAAGCGGCATTAATCAGCTATGGCTGCTGTAGAAGTTGTAGGATTTGGGACTGTGATATTTATTCTTTGCCCTGGGACATGCGCTGTACACAACTCATTCTAGTTGCGGCGCTGTCTTTCCAACCTCCACGGAACAATGCTCTGTGTGCGTGTCTTAGTTTTGAAGCATAAGAGGGCTAAGTTTATGCTATGCGCCATCTGGATTTCCGAATGTAATGGACCCCGCTAATGTTAAAATTTAGCAATAGTACGCAATCAGCACAAAGACTAGACAGCGACCGCTGACTGCTGTTGCCTTCCGTGAGGCAGAGTGCCACGCTGCATCGGAACAGACGGTTTCTGGTTCGACCCGACAATGGTGTGAATTGAAGCGGCGTAATGCTGAAGTTTGCCACTGGCAAAACCCCCCTGGAACACAGGGAAGCGGCGAAGCGGGAAAGCAAAGAAGCAGGAACCCCGACTCCACGCGAGCAAGCTCAGGCGGCAGCACATCAACTCTCAAAAAGGAACCTATTTGCCCCCCTACGCTGGTTACCCAAAGAACAGGTAACCGGCCCTAGTTCCGCCAAATCTTTTGCTGGAGCCCAGTTACCCGCTACACAAGTAACTGGGAAGCCCTGCGCTTTACTGGTTTGGGACCTCACCCCCCCGCAAAGAAAAACAAGAGATACTCTTTGTCGTGGCCAAATCGCCAAATACCCCTTGCAACAGTCTCAGGGTTTAGGGCGGGTGAGTTGGCAAGGTTTGCCTATGAAAAGAGGTAAAATGAGCCTACCCACAGAGGTCTCTTACTTCCGGTTTGTGAGTCAGGGTTTAAGGCAACCAGAAGCAACGCGTACTGCAAGGAGAGCGACCTGGTGAGTGGCTTCTTTGAGCTGTTTTAGTGGAAGAAGTCGTTTCAATAATCACTTGGGCCAAGGACACGGTGGGAAATCTGGGCACTCTGGTGTTTTCCCTGATTTTCAATCAGGAGCCTTCCAGCGATTTGGACCAGACGGTGCGGAAGAAGAACTGGGAGTGTGGAGAACCTGAAGGCAAGAAGGATATGGTCAAGAATCCAAAGAAGAGACCTGGCGATGGCTTTACCCCACCAGCTGGGTTTGCTGTTGGTGTCCCTGCAAAAAAACTTGACATGGTAACGCGCAGCCTCCCTCTCACTAACAGGGGTTTTCCGGGGCAGATCAAATCTTGAAAGGAGACATGGTGCCATGCTAGGAGGCTACTCCTTCTTGAAAAGCATGTTGAAAGGCTGCGAAGATTACTTCAAAAAAAGCAAACTCCTGTCCAAGAACTTGGAGGGAACGTTGAGCACACGTCTCAAACTCTGTGCACAGGGGAAGCCGAAAGGACATCGAATGGCTTTGGGTAGTTTGAGAGCAGAATGAACACCTGCAGATTTCCCGGCCATCAGAGTGACCTAACCGGGGGCCTCCTATATGTGTTGAAGGGATCTTCTCTGAGGGTTTGTCAGTTTGCTGGGCAGTTGACTTCTCCCTGGTTTATGGTGGAAGAAGGATCCTTGACCATGAAGAGAATGGAGAAGTCCCCCCCCCCCCCCCGACGACACGTTCGACCCCAGCCAAGGGCTTTCTTCTTTGCGCGTGAGCAGGGTGAGTCGGTGCCCCTCTTGGAGTTGCTTGAGGAAGGCAAAACGAAAACCATCCATTTTGGTGGGTCGATTTAAAGACAGTCTAGTCCCATTCTCACTTGGCACCAGCGTGACTTTTTTGCTAAAGCATGAGGACTTCCCGTTTTTGGGGCCCCCGCCAATCACAAATAGTTCTTCAGTTCCAAGACTGGCAACCAGGCAACGGCTTCTGGCACGTCATTGAGCCGCATGAGTGCAAGACCTAACTAACATCGAGGACGCTCCCACGCAACAGGTTTTCTTGACTCACCGGGGTGGGGCTTTTTAGTGGACTCACTCTTCACCCCGGGCTCCGCATGGCTGTGTCAAGACAAAACGCCCTTTTCGCACAATTGTTTATTCAGTTAACCTTTTTTCATTTAATTCATCACCTCAAAGGGGTTCCCACTCACACATGAGTGCGAACCAGGATTAAACGAAAGTGGTGCTTTTGCGCTACAAGCAGTTGAATATGTGACACGTGCAGTTGGGCCTTGCTATCCAAACCCTGGTGCCCTGTTAATGAATTTTGTTCCACCCCCAGGCGAATACCTGGAACTCCCCCTAAGTACAAATTCTCAGCGGTTGCTGAAACGGATGTTTTTTGTTCGTTTTGCACAAAACAGTCGTTTCAGAAAGGGTGCCCTCACAAGGGTTGCATGCAGCACCCACCCTTTGCCACTTCACGTGGCCCAATTCTCTCTTGGCTCCGCCACACAATGGCCAGCGCCTGAGTAACTTGTTTGGCAGCAGCACGCCTTGACAGACGACAACTTTTCCTATCAGCTCTTCCCCCATGTCGCATGACCACACTAGGTAGGTTGTTGATGTACTGGTCGCCCTCCGACTGTAAAAATGAACGCAGCTCGTGCAAAGTTGCATTTTGGAACAACGCCAAATGCGTTGAAGTCGTTATTCAAGTTCTCGTGCGCCAAGTAACAAAACCGTTCAAAAACGTCTGCCCAGCTTCACTAAAGCCTCTGCGCAACTGCGAGCAACAAGCAGCCCATGGCCATGGGCTAGCTTGTAAAAGTCAATAGCTGCCTGCCCAACATCAAGCATCACTTTCAATCGCACCTTCCCCGCGTCACTGCAGTCATCCTGTCGCAAAATTGCTGGCAGCATGAGCACAAGTCAGGATACCAAAAGCATGCTACCAGACGCTTTCACATTGGCAAAGGGGTAAGTCTTTGTGTTTGGCCAGTTCAGCAAGTTGCGCGAAAACGAGCGCAGCGCCGCAGTCTTGCGAAAGGCTAAGCGCCATTTCTGATCTCCTTTGAACCCAACCAGGGCGAAGCAATGGCAACAGGTACCAGCTTGAATGCGCTTGTAGAAAAGCTGCCGAACATCCAAAGCTAAGCCAAGGGAGGAGGGAGGGGTGAGCTGTAGTTGACGCACGGGTGAATCCGGCCTTCATCTCCGTGCAGAATGAAAGGTATAGTTGTGTTCCAAGGGTCCAAGAGGTACATCACGTGGGATGGTTGGACAGATTGGAATGCTTGCCACCATGAACTTAGCAACGTGCTCCACTCAAGTGAAACCCCCCAAAGATGAGAGGCTAAGGGTCTCTGGGTTGCTTAGCCGAGCTCCACCGCTGCACAGCTGAGCTGTCGACGTCTTTACCCAGAACTGTTTGGCCTTCATGGTTTTCAAGCAAATTTCGTTGTGGGAGTTCAGACAAAGATATCCTGGTGAGTTCAGCAAACCCAACCCAACCTCCTGTCTCGTGTCCTCCAGTTATGTAAACGGTTCTGACGTTGAGAAGTATCGCCTTGACTGTTGCTCCAAGCGGGGCCAGCGTAGAATTTTTTGGTTTTCACTCGCTCGTTGCCAAGGCCGCACCCAGCGAAACAGAAGCTTCATCCCAGGCAAAGTACCTGCGCGTCTCCGGATCCACTGGCGGAAAAAACAGAAAGTTGGCAAGGGCGCACGATCCACCGATCTCCAGGATCGTGTAGCGGGATAATCCACAGAATAGCGGAAATCGCCGTTTTGTTGGAAAACATGGTTTCGGCAAAACTGCAAAAAATGACCCCCTTCAGGGTGGCACAGGTATGATTTATTTGAAGGCCTTAGGCTTAGGCAACCCGTACTTTGGCTTGCTCCGCCTGTATCCCCCCGTATTGGTCATGATTTTCCTGTCAAAAACCGCAAAGAGCATGTGAATGGATCACAGGAACTTATAGTTCCCAGATTCCAGGGCTGAAACGTGGCTGTTACGTTTGCATTCGGCCCCTTCCCTACCTCCCACCTTCTCACCCGTGACCCACTGGACCTTTGGCCCAGGAAGGCCGCCTACATGGTCTACAACCACCTGAAGCTGAAAGTGTGCCCGCAGGCCTGGCCGCGGGCAAAAGCTTTTGAATTCACCGAGCCTGCTCACTCGCAAACGGAGCACAACACCCACCGTGAAGCGCTGGTATTTGAAGGCCCTTGTCTTGACACATTCCGCTTGAGACAAATATTGCCAATATTCATTATATCAGCTTTTTGCCTGGCAGTTCTTGTCCTTTATGTTTGTCGACATGGCGAGCTCAGTACTTGGAAGCACATCCCTACCAAGGCCGTTGATACCAAAAGAAACCGGTACAGGAGCCTTACACAATTCCCGTCAATTTGCAAAGAAGACATGGAGGACCATCAAACACCGATACCAACCAGCCAGATTGACTGTCAGAATTTGGGACGCTTCTGTGAACACAAATGTTCCGAGCTGGCAAGTGCCAGGGGCTTTTGAAAAGAGCCACCCCTGCAGCGCTTTGTTTGGTGACTTTTCTTATGTCGGTTTCGTTCTGGGATGGATGTTTTGCAGTCCCGCTCACGCCCCAGGAGAGAGGAAGCATTTGGCAAGTGGTGAAGCCAGAGGTGAGCGTGACGTCCGAAAGGTGCACATCCAGCATCACTGGCACCTTGGACTCCAGGACGGTAAGGACATCAAGCCCCAAGAAAAGAGCGAGTCTACCTTGGTCAAGGCCAGGTTTAGTGATAGCGAGAATCAGAGTGTTAGAGCCAATGTAGTTGAATAATGTTTGTTTTTGCGCTGGCTTCATGTGTGTCTTGAACTCCAAACGCCAGAGTTTTCCTGATCCAGCAAGAGGGTTTTGTGCTTCGCTGGAGTTTTCTGGAGATTGAGTGCTATTGGCTTGCCTCAGTCACAATCCTGCCTGATATGAGGTTCGGTCAAATTTTGCGGTACTTCTGTTTGGGAGGGGCATGGGGGACTCACTACATGTTTGAACATAGCGACGGGACTCGCCGAATTTTCCATGCGCAGCGCGGAAAAGAAGTAAGTTTTCTACCATGGCTCACACACGCAAGGCCTCAAGGCAGAATGCGCCCCTTCTCGCAATGGTGTGTGCGTGCGTGTGTGTGTGTGTGTGTTTTGTGTGTGTTTTGTGTGTGTTGTGTGTGGTGTGTGCGTGTGTTGTGTGTGTGTGTGTGTGCGTGTGTGTTGTGTGTGTGTGTTTGTGTCCGTGTGTGCGTGTGTGCGTGTGTGTGTGTGTGTGTTGTGTTTGTGTGTGTGTTGTGTGTGTGTGTGTTGTGTGTGTGTGTGTGTGGGTGTGTGTGCGTTTGTGTGTGTGTGTGTGCGCGTGTGCGCGTGTGCGTGCGTGTATGCCTCTGTGCGCCTGTGCGTGTTCGTGTGCGTGCGCGTGTGCGTGCGTGTGTTGTGTGTGTGTTGTGTGTGTGTGTTGTGCGTTTGTGAGTGTGTGTGTGCGCGTGTGCGTGGGTGCGTGCGTGTTTGCGTGTGCGTGTGTGCGTGCGCGTGCGCGTGTGCGTGTGCGTGCGCATGAGCGTGCGCGTGCAGTGCGCGTGTGCGTGCGCGTGCGCGTGCGCGTGCGCGTGTGGGTGTGTGTGGGTGTGTGTGTGTGAGAGTGTGTGTGTGTGGTGAGTGTTTGTTTGTTTGTGTGTGTGTTGTGTGTGCGTGTGTGTGTGTGTGTGTGTGTGTGTGTGTGTGTGTGTGTGTGTGTGTGTGTGTGTGTGTGTGTGTGTGTGTGTGTGTGTGTGTGTGTGTGTGTGTGTGTGTGTGTGTGTGTGTGTGTGTGTGTGTGTGTGTGTGTGTGTGTGTGTGTGTGTGTGTGTGTGTGTGTGTGTGTGTGTGTGTGTGTGTGTGTGTGTGTGTGTGTGTGTGTGTGTGTGTGTGTGTGTGTGTTTGTGTTTGTGTGTGTTTGTGTGTGTTTGTGTGTGTGCTTGGATCGGCTGTGTGCTTAATAGTGACTTGCCATGGTTACTGCCTCTGCTAAATATTTTGTAAAAGTCAAGTAAAGCCTTAGTAACAAGTTGTAAGTGCTTATAAACAGCGTAAAGTGCTGATTGAGTTAATGCTCTTACATAAAAAATAGCTAACATGTGTAAGTGTACTAGTTAAAGTAGCTAGTTTATAAGTAGTTAGCTACAGGATTAGCTGACTTTTGACTTTTGCTTAGCACACTTCTTAATGGGCTAGTAAGGTAATAGTAAGGTATGATTTGTTCTTGCCTTCAATAGTGCCGCAAAGGGCCAAAGCAATCTCAAATGTTGTTTGTACCGGTCTGGGATTCCTTTAGCATATGATTTGCGCACCTCTTTGAGGCATGCAGCTTTGGCAGTTTGCTGCCTCATTTTGTTTGATAGTAAGCCCATTGGGCTATGGTTTTGTTATCAGCCTGCACAGGCTCGCAGTTAACAGGGCATCGCTGAGCTTGTATTTTGGAATTGCCATGCTGCAATGCTCCTTGCGTGTGGCACCATTATCAGCCCCTTGGGCTTCTGATGTTTCTTTTCAGCCTTCACAGGCTCAGCCTTCTTGTCTAGAAGCCATGAGCTGCTGCGGCTTTCAGCCTGCGCAGGCTTGTGTTGCATGCATGCTTTCAGTGCTTCATGGAGTTGTGCAACTATAGAGGAGCAGCAAGAAGCACCTGCCCAGCACATGCGCAGCACAAGGAACATGCAGAGTTTCATGACCAGCAAGCGAAGCATGACATTACAAGGCAGCCGTCACCAAGCTGCTAGTGCTGCAGCCCCATGCCATGGATGATGCTTTGAAAGCAGAGATTAATGCAGTGAGATGTGATGAAGGGCTTCAGATCAACAGAAAGTGTCAGGTCATTTTGAGCAAGCTGCAAGCTGCAGGCTTGCTGTGGGAGCAGAAGGTGAAGCCTGTGCAGTTGCTGGTGCATCCCAGCAACCGATCTGGGGCCATGCTCAACAGCTTTGACATGCATGCCAAAGGAGCCATGGTTTTGACCATGGGGTGCTTGGTGGACAAGCTGAGTGACTCCTTGGCTTTTGAAATGGCAAAGGAGCCAGGCCAGAAGCAGACGCAACTGCAGGCAAACCTGGAGCTGGTAAGCGCGTCAGAGAACAAAATTGCCCCAGTGCTCTCCACAGAAAGATATTTGACAGTGGCTTGCTCCCATGTGGGCATGTTTATGAAAACAGTGGCAGCAGGCACTTGCAGCACAGAGCACGAAGAACTTGCCAGGGTGAACAATGGCCTGCTGACCTTGGACAGTTTGCTTTCAAAGTATGCAGACCCGGTCTTAGAAGCTTTGATCAAGGAAGGCTGGACATGGAAGGTGATCAGCGCAGAAGTGGAAGAACACCTTGAGTGGCTCCCCGGGTTCTTGCAAGGCAGCTTGAACACTTCTCAACAGGTGGCAAGCACGCCCACGGAGATGGAGCAAGCAATGAGCTTGGCTTTCTGGTACAGCAGGAGCAAGGACTTGGATGTTGCCATTGCCCAGACCGCAGCCTGCATGCCACTCAGGGCTCACTATGTGCCCATGATTGCTCAATGGGTAGCAAAGTATGGTGGAGGTGAGGAGTTCCCTTTGGTGAAGCTTGCAGAGTCCATCAGTGACTGGTTTGCATTAACTTAATACCAAGGCTGGTTTGCTGTGAGCTGTGTAAGGCAGACAAGCTGGAGGTGCGCTACAGCTGGGGGAGGAATTTCTCAGCCATGTGGTGAACCTTGACTTCAGAAGCAGCTCAACAACTTACCCAATGCTGAGGACAGCCCTCATTGCCACACAGCTTACTTCGCCCAAAGCTGTCCAGAGAGATGGCTACGGTAGGCTGTTGAGCAAAACAGATGTGGACAAGCTCAAAGGCCAGGCTTTCGGCAGCATGGTCAGTAAGGCAGAGTTGCTGTTGGTGAATGCTTGGAACTTGGCATCCAAGACACCATGCTTGGCATGGGACAAGAAGTGCTTGGCCTCGGGAAGGTTTATGTGCAGATTGGTCCTGTTCATGCTGAACAAGCAGGCCAAAGGCAGGGAGAAGAAGTCCTATGACAGCCTGGAGCAAATCAACACTCTGTTTTCAGAGGACTGGTCTGCCATGGTGAAGGATGGCAAGATTGCTCCTGCTGCGCTTGCAGCCAGTGGTGCTGCATCTTCTGGCAGTAAACCCCCTGTCCCTTTGCAGAACACAGCAGACCCTAAGTTCATTGCGATGTCTGCCAACCCTCACTTGGAAGTTGGCAAATGCTACACCAATGCAAAGTATCCTGGCCAAATTTTCAAATTCACTGAGATGCAGGCTTCTTTTGCCAAGATGACGCACGCCCCTCTGTTTGGCAGCCCTGTGACAGTGGATGTGCAGCATGATGAGCTAAAGACTTGGAAAGTCTGCTACTCGAAAGAGCCTGCCCTGATTGACGGCAGCATTTTGACGAAGATGCAGCCAGCGAATTCAGAGCAGCTCCAGGTAGACAAAGCCAAGGCAGTGCTGCAAACTGCCATCTATGACTTGTACTTGGAGCAACCTGCCTTGGAAAGACATGCTAGTGGCAAGTGTTTTTAGGAATTGTTACATGTTGCTTTGTGAGGGTTGCTTTACCGTGCCTGCAAGCCATCCCAGGAGTCATGAGCCTGAAGTCTTGATGTCAAGCAGCAACCAGATCTTTGCCAGCAGTAGTGTCAAGAGAGGTGGACTGAAGTTGTTACCCTTGGGGACAGTGGTGGAAGCAAAGCCTGACAAAAATGCAAAGAATGTTGTGGTGCTGACTTACCCTGGCCTGGAAACTAAGTTTCAGATTGCGCCTTGCAAAGTGGATTTCAGAAAGGAAGCTGGGCTATTTGTGCCATTCAACTTCATCAAGCACGCACCTGAAGGCGAAGCTGGCAACATGGAACTGACCAGCATGAAAAAGGACGGCATTATAATTCCACTGTATAGGAACAAGAGGCCCCTTGACAGAGGGGATGAGCTGCTTTTGGACTCAGCGTCCAGAATGCTAGACAGTGCTTGTGGGAAGAAGGCAAAGAAGTCTTCAGCATGAAGCTGCAGCATATAACGGTGTGTCTGAATAAAGGGGCGCAAGCTGTGCCTGCAAGCTTTCTTGGAAGCATTGCATGGGCTTGCAAGGAGTTGCGTTGTGTGCACCCAGTCTTGGTCACATGTTGGAAGCTCGTTAGTTTTGGCAGGCTGCTATAGGCTCAGCCTTTGGCAGGCTGTTTGGCTTAGCCTGCGGCAGGCTGATTCCTTAGCCTTTTCAGGCTGCTCAGGTTCAGGGCTCAGCCTTTGGCAGGCTGTTTGGCTCAGCCTTGCGGCAGGCTGATTCCTTAGCCTTTTCAGGCTCATCAGGTTCAGGGCTCAGCCTTTGGCAGGCTGTTTGGCTTAGCCTGCGGCAGGCTGATTCCTTAGCCTATTCAGGCTGCTCAGGGTCAGGGCTCAGCCTTTGGCAGGCTGTTTGGCTTAGCCTGCGGCAGGCTGATTCCTTAGCCTATTCAGGCTGCTCAGGGTCAGGGCTCAGCCTTTGGCAGGCTGTTTGGCTTAGCCTTTTCAGGCTCACCAGGTTCAGGGCTCGGCTCAGGCTTTGGCAGGCTAGTTGGCATTGCTTGTGACAAGTGGGTTCCTTAGCCTTTTCAGGCTTATCAGGCTTAAGCACCTTGGGCGCATGATGCCTGAGACGCCCCAGCTGTC